TCAGAGCAGTCAGAAACATCTTGTTGGCAAAGACTGAGACAATGAAGTCAGTGTCTTCCTTTTTATATATATATATATATATATATATATATATATAAATAAATAAATAAATATATTATCACTGTCATACTGAATCATAAGTCCTATTTACAAACACATCCATACTTGCTTACTCAGCCTTCTACTGTGAAGGCAGTGGTAAAAGGTCTTTGTGCTGCCACTGATATCCCATACAACTCTAGATAACTCTAGACAAGCTTTTGTTCATTTAACATCTTTATATGTTCAAAATCCCCAGTTATACCAGTTTTCAGAATTAAATTGATGTTTTCTCTATTAAAGTAGAGAGCATGTACTCTGGTACTCCTTCCTCACTCCCACCAAGATCTTGATATACTTAATGATCAGTGTAGCGAAGGTTACCATTAATCATCTCATTTCCAGACAGCTTAATAATAAACAGCAGATCCAGCTGTGTATCATCAGTTGACCTATCCACTATCTGTAAGATGTAGTTCTCTGACATTATCCAGAAGTTCTCTTGACTGCTTACATTCCTGTGTTGTCCTGCCAGCACATGTCAGGAAATTTTAAATCTCTCTCATCTGAAGTGGTACCTTGTCATTCAGAGAAAGTTAAATGAGGCTTTGTCCACCTCCTCAGCCTGATCAGGTCAATTACTACAATACTGTGATCCTTTTTGACCTTTAATCCCAACTAACAGCCTCACAGCCACTGTCATCCACTGAACAGCTCCCTACATATTCAATATTTGCATACATGCACTTGAGACGAATACCACTTTTCAGCAATACTAACATCACTCTTATTTCCGTAACAGTGCCCTCTGTTTTCCACGTATATACCAAGACCCTTTTAAGATGGGGTCATAAACCCTTTTCACTACCTCAAACAATACTCACCAGGTTTATCAGCCTGTTGGCATACATGCATTCATTGCACTTGAGGATCAAAAGCTTTCAGCTAAAGATCCAAATATGGGATTCAAAAACAGGTCTCATGGTATCAAAAGTCAAATTTCTGGTTAGTTGCACAATTAGTGTTGGAAGATTTTGATTCACAGGATATGCCTATTCCTTTCATTTAAGAAGATCTGTCCTTCAAACATTTTTTCCATTTACCAAGAGTACTGAGAAGTTCCTACAAACAACTGTGCTAACTCATAGAAGTCTCTTCTTTAGAAGACAACCAGTTGCACTGAAGTTGTAAGTAGGAGAGGAAAGAGTGAGACATTTATTCACTCTTTCAAAGTTTTGTCACTTACAAGAAATATGCCATTTTTACATCTGTGCAAGAAACCTGCCAGCAAGTTCTTCTTAGCAAGCATCTTATTACCAGGATACCCGTTGATACCTCATGAAAGCTATTCTGAAAAAACAGCTCTAAATAAATCTTGTCAGTATTCCACACATAATCAAAACAATATATTCCAGGATCAACCAACATTAATCAAAGATATTAAATTAAACAAATAAAACAGCAAATTATTTTGGGTAGAGAATCATATCACAAAGTGACAAACTATACAGAATGAAATTGCAGATCTAAAGAAACACTTGATATCAGCAACTACTCTACTGGGAATCAACCAGATATGACAACAACTGTGACATGTTGATTATCATAACACATAATAAGGATAGAAAAATAACAGTAATGTCTTTGTGAACGTTAAAAAAAAGAAGTGCAACTGCCAATAACTTTTTTTTATTATTATTTTTGGATACAAAATTTTCTTGATATCACCCAGGAGAGTATGCAAGGCTTGTTTCATTGTTAGTCCACTGTTCTGTAATAATATGTTTAAGTTCTGTACGTCTGTGAAGCCAGAAAAACAAGTACTATGACTTCAAAAACAGAAATCAAATATAAATGGGAAAAAATGTTTGAAAGTAGAATAAGAAGTTGAAACAGTGTGGTCTGCATCAGTAGCATAAAATTTTCAAGAACTGTGGAACATACTGCAAATTGAATTCAAATCAGTTTTGAAGTACCACACACATGGAACATTCTGACCTGTAAGTGCACAGTCAAGGAAGACTCATGGACCCAGGCCTACTTTTGGTACAAAAAGAACCACAGTCTCCCATGTATTTCTATCTAAGATGCATTCAGTCCAGTTTGGATAGGTCTCAAGCATCCTATAATTACAAATTCTAGTTGTATTGCAGATACAGTATGAATGAAAACTATTACGTGGTTAAATCTTTGGTAACCCTTTCTTCAGTCTCACTGCTCTTTAATAATGTTCTCTAATACCCGTCTGTTTCCCAAAACACGAACTAATGATGATAAATTGTACAGGACATCTCCTTTAGGTTACGAAGGAGATATGACTAAAAGTAATACCCAAGAAACATGCATATCAACAAATACAGTAAAAAGCAAGAATTCATAGTACGTTCTAGCATCCCCAAAGCATTAACACAAACAATACACGTTCTTGTTATTTCCTGCCACTGTGCCAAATAGCTTCATTAAATCTTTGTCATAAGCAATCAACATTAATGTATTAAATCTTAAACAATTTTGTACAAAACAGGTTATTTTATACAGAGCCCCTTTAACATAATACCAGAAAGAAGGAGGAAAAGGTCATGGCTGTGGAATGTCTGAAGCATCTGTAAGATCACTGCCTCTTTTTACTATCTGGTTGTTCTTAAGTAGTGCACAAATAATTAGTCACTAGCCACTAGTATATCATCAATTCATGACTAATATATATTCATAAAGTATTTGTAATAGATTAGACCTTTATTTAAAATAATTACTAATGTTAAGTACCAATGGCAATGTTATATTAACAATATTAAAAACAGACTGATTTTTATTTTGCAAACCAACATACTCAAAATGTAAACTGAGTAAAGTTTATCAGTATAAATACTAGCACATTTATCTTGTACGTTTACTTTTAAATGAGAGGACCTACTGTTAATTGAGAAGAATTATTTAGGTAACACAGGTAGATAAGGAATTATTCCCTGATGAATTACAGAAAAGATTCAGATTGCAAATACTTTCTGCATACTGCATTTGATTGGTTTCATACACAATCCATCAAAATTTAAATACATTCTTAATCAGGAAGAAGATTCACAAAATTAAGATTCTATTTAGGAAACAGACTTAAGTTCATCACTTCACAAGTAAAGTATTTGCCAACTCTGATTCTTTTTCTTGGTTTGAGGGGATAGTGAAATGACAGTACTATGGGAAATCTCACAGTACTTTATATATAATGACCATCTTCACATTTGAAGATAACTATCATCATAGATTTTTAAAAGGCTATTCTGTCAAGGTCCAATCAATGAGCAAATTTCTTTTCCTTAGGTATCACTTGAAATTGGTACTTGCTTTAGCCAATATAAAGTATATTTTGATTATCCTACTTTACTAGGTGGGAAAAGCTTTGGAAGAACCCCTGCAGACAACAGTTTTAAATAGCTTTATCAGAATACATTTGAATTTCATGTAAATTCTTACAGTTCTGATGTAGAGGACAAAGTTCATTTCTGCAACTCACTGTATGTCATACAACTATTAAATGCATTATAACAGAAACCTTCATCTTTCAAGTCTGGACTGAAGCTTTTAATCTCTTCTCTTTTGCTACTAATATTTATTCAATTTCTTGTTTGATATTTGATTGGTTTTTTTCCCATTTTAGTCTCCAAAGCATGTCCTCATGCTAGCTCCACTTAACACTGTTAAGACGACTGTAATAAACTGATTCCATGAAATTCCTATTGCTCTAAAATTAGAAAACATTCACAAAACAATTTTAATCTACTTCTTTGATAAACCAAGTCAGTATCCTTCTAATTTCCCAATGCCACTTATAACTGCGTTGAAAATGAAATACTGAATTGCACTTCATCACAGGTCTGTGTCTTTCTTCCAACTAAATGTGTCCTACATTATTTTTTCCTACAGATATAATAATTCTCCTTTTTCATAATGAAGAATATTTATATATTAGTCTATTTCACTTAAATAATATACTCCCAGACTAATGACACTACTCACTAAGTACTATGTGGTACACGTCATCATTAAACCAATCATTGCTTAAGTAGAAAAAGATAGATCACTTCAGTTTGAGTTAAATTTTAAGAATAGTTTCACATAAGCATGTAAGCATCTCTTAAAATACACATATCCCTTTTCTGGAAGAATGGGGTCACAGACTGGATCCAATTGTCTTCAGTTCTTTTATGCCAAAAAGGAGAATCTTAGAGGTGTAAGAAAAGCTAGTGGGAGAGGAAGATTATAGTGAATTCTTCAAGTCAATAAAGACCAGCCATCTCTTCATCCTTAAGAAGGCAATCAAACAGCTTACTGAAAGCTACATCATACAGATTCCTGTAGAAAACACTGTACTCAAAGAACCATACACAAGCTTTTAAAATCAAATAGAAAAACCAAACCAAAGCAAAAATATTCTGGTAAGTTCAGCTACATGAAAATTAGTGCAACTTGCAAATCCACAGTTCCATATTTTACCTGTCATAAACAATAGTACCTGCATCAAGATTTTATTCTTTAAACTACTAACCAGCCAGTTGAGTGACTTACTCGGACTGTCATAGATAATTAACTTTTAATGATACCTACAAGTCCTCAAACTTCTGAGAAATTTCTGAAAACTGATGTTTCAGCTATGAATAGAATTATATAAGTTAATATAGATTTAAAATTAACTAAATATAAACATATAAATACAAATGAAAACATATTTAGATCAGGTGAAATCTTGTATTACATAAAGCCCTGTAATTACCTTCAGCAATTGCATGAAATGCAGAAATTTCAACTTATAGTTTGCACAATTAAAAAAACGTGAACTGCAATTCCATGAGTCAGACAGCTGTGGGATTGAAGTGTCACATTAATTTTAATCTGGCAATGACTAGTAGATAGAAAGATAATTTATATGGTATGTAAAGATCTTAAAGTTGGTCAATCAATCTTACCCCAGCAGAATTTTAGCATGAACCTCTTTGTTAGTCCTTGAGATTTCTCTCAAAGAGGTAATTTCTGCATCAAACCAAAATCCTCTTTCTTCTGGAGTCTCAACATTGTAGTTAACCATCACCACATCACCCACTTTCAATTCACTCCACTTCAGAATTGTTCTTGCTCGGGGTCGAAGATTATTGATGTCCATTTCTACTATGCCACTCTCTGGGTACCTTCAAAAGTGAAACCAAGAACAGCAGTGATTACTCCTCCTGTACCAGTAAGTCACAAGTTTTTTAATTTAACTCTGCCTTCATGCACTCATTATATTTCCACTATAGCATCATATTTAGGACAGACCTTTTAAGAAGTCTAACCCTACCAACACAGCTTATCAAATTCATGTGATGGATATAGCTCAAATACACATTCCATGAACATATGTTTAAAAAAATTGTTACCTACAAAATCTATTAGAGAATAAAATATAGTAAAGCTAAAATCTCTAGAACAGAAAACATTTATCTCTTAACTACAAAAAGAAAAATCTAGTAAAGTAAATGGGAGATCATTTCTTTTGACATCTTGAAAAGATGCAGTGAGGAATCCAATGCTTTAAGCAAAGGAAGTAAAGATAAATGGTCTCTAAATCATAGCTAAGAAATTTTGACCGATTTGTTATTTTTCAGTTAAGATTTTTTTTTTAAGGCAGATTTTTACACGATATTATTTGCAAGTTATTAGATTTTACGAGTGATGTCACAGTAAGACAAGAAGACAAGCAATCAGTACAAAAACAAAATCAAACAATTATGAATAACATCTGAAGAGCTCCCATTTCATCCCAACTGAAAATCATTTAGTAGAGTTAAAAGTGATATGCAACAGCAATACAGCTAAAATAAAAAATACTGAAGAAAAAACCCACAAACTTTCTAAGATCTGAGATGTTAACTTTTCAGTCTAATGATATTGCCCTTCACAATTGTGTGGTAATTCTTCAACACCAGCAGTACTTGTAGGATTTTCACATATGCCATTAATACAGCACAATAAAGACTTTGTGAAAATACTGCTAGCAGAAAGTTGATGGCCTGCTACAAAAAAAAAGTGCTCGACTAAAATGATGAAGTTGTTTAGTGATACTGCACGTAAGCTAAAAAAATCCTCCATCATTAAATGAGTAACAGATGACATCACAGCAGACATTTCATACAATATGCCTATAGGCATTAGACCTACTTTTAAGCATTCTTTTTTTCCTAGCAAAAATTACAAAGAACAATAACTCTTATATTTCCAGCATGTAATTATAATTATTTTAGAAACAGTACCCTTGCTATACAGTTTGATATGACTTCGTAAGCTACCCTGCTAAACTACAAAGACAAAATTTCACTCTTGCTAATTAAAGTACGGTATCTATTACTTTCAGCATGCCTATCTATAGTGAACTGGACCACCTCAAAGCCTTGAAAAATTGCACACTGTGACTTGATACATTTCTATACAAACTAAACAGATTTGTCACTAACGGCATAAGGCTTTAGTAAACTACAGTCTGAAGGCTGTCCTCTCATAACTAACTGGATGAAATCCAGGTGATACAACTGGCTACATAATTATCATAGAATCATAGAATGGGTTGGGTTGAAAAGGACTACAATGATCATCTAGTTTCAATTCCCTGCTGTGTGCAGGGTCACCAACCACTAGACCAGGCTGCCCAGAGCAACATCTGGCCTGGCCTTGAATGCCTCCAGGGATGGGGCATCCACAGCCTCCTTGGGCAACCTGTTCCAGTGTGTCACCACCCTCTGTGGGAAGAACAGTACCTAACTTAAACCTCCCCTGTCTCAGTTTAAAACCATTCCCCCTTGTTTTATCACTATCCACCCTCATAAACAGTCAATCTCCCTCCTGTTTATACATTTCCTTTAAATACTAGAAGGCCAAAGCGAGGCCAATTGTCTAAGTTTATTTTTGTTTGTTCAACATTTTCTTCTAAATTTAACCGGTCTGCTACAACAAAGGTGCCAGAGAAAAAGCTTGGATGGGGGAGAAGTGCCAAAGACCACCTAGTACTCCATCTGCACACCCTTCTCTGTCCTTTATTATGCAGATATCTTAAGTGTGGCTTAAATTTGGAAGATTTCAGTGTTGTTTTTTTTTTTTTTTTTAAGAGACATCAAACAATTTAATACTGGCTGTACTTTTAGATGAACTAATGGACAAATTAAAAAAAAACAACATAACTGTTCTTTACTACTTACACAAGTTAAATTGTAAGTGTGCTTCCCAACACTTTCAGTACCTAATCTTTCAGTTCCTAATTATCAAAACCTGCATAATGGAAATTATATCATGCAGAGGCAGGTGCTTGAGATAGAGTCACTATGAAAGTAACAGTCTCACATGATCCAACTTTTCAAATTTGCAATACTTTGGCTTCAGTCTGAGGGTACTGCAAAGCCATTGTTGGTACACACTTTTGTGCTGCAGCTGTCCCTTAGAAGAACTATTCTACAACTGTACAATGCTCATATTGCAGTACTGTAATATCCACCAAAAAAAAAAGGCAAGAAACTCACCCACAGCAATACAAAAAGCAACGATGAGGTAATGTCTATTTTACTGAAGGACCTACATAATGGCAAGGCATTATAGAAGAACAGGCAGCTGAAATCTTAGGACAGCTAAGCTTGAGCTACTGGTGCATTCTAATCATCTTATAACAAACCCTTCCTAAAGTTTGAAGATGACTGCAAATAAATGAAGAAATGATGTACCTGAACTGATAAATGAAAACAGATCTTAAACATCAGAAAAATAAAGAATTATAAATTAGACAATGCTTATGGACACAGAAATAAGCAAGAAGTATCCATGAGATATAAAAATGTTATAGGAATAACGTTAAAAAATTCCAATGTCACCACCCAAAAAATAATCAAAGAAATGCAACTCACAACAACATGCATTCATAGGAATTTTGATATGAAAAAAAATCTGTTCTCTTCTAAAATAAAGACTTTTTGGTGTCCAAACACCAGAACAGTCTCTGGACAAATAACTATTATTTAATCATCAAAAATTATTTTGTGCCAAACTCTGCTTCGTGTCATCTTTGTACCCAAGAAAACTCAAAACAAAATGCTTCCTACTGTTTGTCTGAGAGCTTCAAAGATTTTCATTGTTAATTACTCCAACTCTGCTCTTGGAAGTATACAGATAAAGAGCCCAAATAAAGAAGACTGCTAACCATCATTAATAAAATAAGATACAGAAGATACAATCTAGCGCCCCTATTTACTGACAGGAACCTACTGCTTTTCAAAGCAAGTAAAAGAGTCTTCACTGAGGGAATTTTTTACTCATTTTTTACTCACTAGCTGGGCGGAACCTTAAGCTTACAAATCTTCCTTCTGAAGGACAGTTTATAAACAGGTAAGATTTTTCCTTGTTAGATTCTCTTTTCCTTGTTAGATACTCTTCTCCATCGGGTTCCACACAAAGAATGTTTTGCTGCTGTGTCTCTGCACACCAAAAGGCAATGACAAAGCAGCCTTTGGTAAATCCTAACAGATATCTAACATTTGTCCATCATTCATATCCCAAACTAAACAGGTGAAACAGCACTCTGAGTTCAGTTCAAGATCACACATGCAAATATATTAAGCACAGCAACACTACTCCTCATTATTCTGAGTAATAAACAACGAGTACTTTCACAATAGCTTTGGAACCTCAATGTATCAAATGCCACAGTTTACTTCAGTAGGAAAAAAAGAAATCACACCCAACATTAGAAAGTGCCATTCACTCCATGCTCACTTTCTAGAAGTTGAGGATGTTAGTTGCATAAGATACATTAAGTTGAAACTTAATCTTTAGCAAAAGTATTTTCTCACTTGCTGCATTACCTATAAAATCCTGTGATAACCCTCAATTAAAAACAGAAGCAGCTTCACAGCTATGTTCTAATTAAACTAGTTTAAGTTTGTTGAAGTTTTAATGATCATCTGACACAATTCAATCTTTAAACATTACAGACATTTCTTGTCTTTCCATTTTTTTCCACTACAATCAGCACCTAATATTTGAAAAAGCAAACACAGTAGCAGTAAGTATTATCCTAACACTGATGTTATAGTGAGTACAGCTCACTGGAAGTCTCATATTCACTGCCAAGGCAAATTCCCGCGTAATTTAATTTCCCTTTAATTTAGTTTTCCTGGTAATATTTCTAACTAGATAGTAATATCAGCATAAAAAGGCTTTCCTCTGATTTACTTCATTACCAATGAAGTAAAAATTCAGGTATTTCTTGGTATCCACTCATTCCTAAGGCATTCAAATACTGAGAAACATGAGTTTCACATGAGAACATAAACAAGACTTTTCAATTCACTGAGAACTTTCAATGTATCCTTCAAGTCTCTCCCCAAGTGTCGCTAGAAACTGGAAAGATAAAATTACTGAAACAAAGCAAAAAATACCAAAGACTTCCCTACCCTTTCTCCAAACTAGTATGATAAGCAATGTTAGTGGAAAAATGAAATTTCCAGAAATTGCTGTTTTCCAAAATCAACAGAATGAACACTAAGAGCGTTTGAGAAATACACTGCGTGCAAGGGGAGGTACTTTGACATTCCTCCATAGAAAACAAAATAATTCTACTTGCAGCATGAGCATTAACTCTGCTGAAAGTAGCTACCTCTCAAAGCAGTGCTTCTCTACCTTACTCTGCCATTCCGTGCAGCTAAACTCATTTGAAAAGATAAACAGTATATATTTAGTCTTCTAAATATATCAGGAAGCAAGAACATTTTACAGCCATACAATCACTACATTCAACAACACTGAACTATCAGGCACTGTATACCTGGAAAATGATGTTAAGAGGAAGAAGTGGCCACCTATTCTGAAAAAAACAAAACCCTTAATGCTTGAAGAGTGTCTTTTTGTCTCCAAAACTCAATTTATCAACAAGTTGTAGTATGATAACTGTCATCTATTAAATCCCAGACTATTACATTTTCAGGTGAAGCGTGCAAATAAATATTTTGAAAATAAAGCTATTATGTCTCAACTTCAAACCATTTGTTGAGAAAGTAGTAGCAAGTTTAGACTACTACTCTGCTGTCTCTTCAGCTAAGAAGGCACTTTAAAGGAGAAAGCGTTGTAGTTTTTATTTCCCTGAAAAGGTTCTTAAAACAAGAAATGATGTGGC